GAACAACGATGCCAAACCATTAATAACCAATTCCAATACCATTTGCCTCCGTGTTGATCAAATATTATTTTACACCGTAGAAAAAAAAACGTCTGGTCTTATGGAGTAACCTAATGCCATCGAAGACAGAGAGAAAAAGAGGATAAAGAGTACTCACGTGGCATCTAAGGACGCAGATTTAGTCGGCGGAGTGGCGATCAGCTGATGAAGCGCCGTCTCGGAGATGGAGAACTGCGAGATCGGATCGTTCGTTTGATTCAAGCCGGAGGTGTTGCCGATCTGCGAGATACAGGAGACGCTCCACGGCCTGGGCCCGTTCGCTTTCTGTTTTGAGCGCATCACGACTTTCGGTGTGCTGGCGTCCAGTATCGGGTTCGTCTCGTTCACCGGCGTCTTCTCCAGGTCCTCGAAGATCTCTTGCGACACCGACTGGGACGTGCAGCCGAGCGCGCCCTCGAAACGGCGGTAAGTCGCGACGCTGCTCTGCAGATCCTCCGACGAGACCGACTGCCTCTCCCCGTCTGACTCCTCCGTCGTGTATTCGCCGCTGGCATCGCAGCTATCCAACGGCTGTAATTCACGCTGATTACAATTGTTGCGAAACCTTGTAATTCCCCTCAGCCCTCGTTACAAATGGCGCGCGTGACCGTATGATCGGATGTCTACTGTGGGTACTTAACCCATTCGAGACCAGTGTTTCTTAACAGATTCACTCTGCCACAGCGGCCACCGATGACCGAAACTTTCAAATTACTTGGAAACGATTGCAATAAGAAAACTGATATCGGATGAAAATATTGATAACGTAAGTGACTAGATGATGGTTGTAACAAAGGTACTGACATACTGAATGATAGTGATTTCTGATAACATTTGCTTTTGTCGCGAAAGAATAAATATTGTTATAGAAAACACTTGAAATTCCCAGGTCAACGTGTCGGAAAACGATCCTCGTGAGAGACGACTCGCCAGATTGGTTTAATGTGTAGTTTTGTATTTAATATTAAGTTCTGCGTGAGGCGACAATATTTGAAATATTGAAATAAAGTAGCTTTGAGATATTTGGTCCATCAGTTTGAAAAAACAATGTTATCAAAAAAACGCGTGTAAGGTTTTATTTTTCTCTTGGAACTTCTCTTTTGATGAAAGTAGAGAGATAAACTCTGACAAAATGTTCCTTCTCGGAAAATTGTAGCACACTTCATTGTCGGCTGAATTTGATCAAAGGGCATTTTTTACCCTCTTGTCAGGCTAAACTCTTTTTTCTTCCATCATTGCGCGTGTGAAACACGCCGTGCACCTTACCGTATTATTAATTCAAGGTTCACAGAATTTCTCACGCCTCTTGGTAACATACTTGTTCTGTTTCACACCGCACGCGATAAAGTAAAGAAAACCTACGTTAGTAATACTTGTGATACGTAATGTAATTACAAGTTCCCCGTTTATGTCTTGATAATTCAATAAGTAGTCCTATCCTTTTTTCAATTTTACAACGAATAAAATAATTGTTTTTAAATATACTATAAATTAAAGATATCCTCGTTACTTCGAGGTATTTCAAGTAAAATTTTAAGTAAAATATATGAAATACACGAAACACATCCTAAATATTATATATAATACGTCTCGTATACGGCAACAGCGTTTCATGTATATTATGCATCTAACTTATAAATGAAACAAATTAAATATTTATTATATACAATTGCTTTTGTCGAAGTACTAGCTTGTAGACGCAGACAAGAAAATCTTAATGATGCATCTTGTATGTGATAATTAACCGTTCCGCGATTCCCAATCAGTGTATTTACAAACCTTATACGTAACACACAGATGGTAATACGAAGCCTCTGAGGCATTAAGAATCTTCTTTAACGAATAATAATCTCAGTATATTTATTAGTACTAAATTAGTTCGGTTTTGAGAAAAATGCGAAAACTTTATTGTCGAAAGAATCGAAGCGACGGAAAACTCACGTTTCCAGTTAAGGATTAAATCAAACTGATTGCGGCTAGTCGGTTAAAGATCTCAGGATTATTAATCAACTTCCTGTAATAAAATTTCTCCTCGGATGCAGATTCAAGTTTCATAGATTGCAACGGCTGATTAGCATCAAATGGCACTTTTCTCGCGTAAAAGTCCCACATGTTTGCGTCACATAAGGCAACTGTCGCGCATACGATGTACAAGGTGTCACTGAAGTAAGCGGGAAAGCTTTAATAACGTATTCTGTCTTTTTCAAGAATCAAAAGAAGATAAATGAATAACAAGTTTCAAACAGTTAAGAAGAAAATACGAGTCAACCCTTTACTATTCTTTAATTCTAATAGAGAAGAAATATGTGCACTGACTCTTTGTTTAAACTAAATTATTTGTCTGTAACTTTCTATTCTGACTATCAATGTCTGATATCATCAATAGCGCGACATTTTTCCTCGAAGGGTTAATCCCCAGCTGAAAAACTCAGCTTCGGAATTGCTTTTAAAGCTGCTAATTTAGAGATCGAAAGGAATCTAACTTTCTCCCTTAAGTCTATATTGTACGGCATTACCTACTAGTGCTTAGCGAGCAGGCCAGTTAACGGGCTACGATTATATAGTGCACGCATTGCATTTCTGCCAGGCAAAAAATAAACTAATTTGATTTACAACTCAGTTTCCATATGGCTCAATTCATTCCTTTACTAATTTCTCAGAACAGCATCTGTTATCTTTACGACAACAGCAAAAAGAAGAAATCACGAATGGGTTTTTTCGTAGTTTTAATGTTAACACTTTATCGCTCCTCACGTTTTCACTTGCAAAGTTTTGTAACTTTAAAATCAAACTACAGGAGAATCTCATAATAGACTTCATCGCATGGGCTTCTGAGCAACTCAACTGTTAAGCATTCGAAATTGAATGTTGACTGCCGCGGCGGTCACCGATGACCGGAGCTTCTAAATTACAAGATAATAATCCTAGCCCGTAAGATAACTGATGTCGAATCAAAATGCTCAGTAGCGTAAGTAACCAGATAATGGTGTAACGTAAGAATTGAGATAGGAAATAATTAATAATTTTTCCTCTTTATCTCTGCTACGGAGAGAATAAGTAATACATAAAACGCTGATGTCTTTCGTGGCAGTCAACGTGTTAAATAAGAACAACGGTGATCTAACTCGCACCTCAGCAAATAATAGAATCGCAACCCACCTGTGACGTGGACAACCGTCCCTCGTGGCCGCGAACGGAGTTCAGTTTCAGCCACTCCTTGATCCGCGCGTACTTCGCGCGATGATTGTTCGTTATACCCTTGTCGTCGAGGATGAGCTGAGGGAACGTCTTGGTGACGCCAGCCCGCCTCTCGTCCCCGACCAATTTCTCGACCTCCTTAATGAGCCTCTGGATGCTCGTCTTGTCGTTCCGCGTCTCGTCGTCGCTGTCCTTCTCGCGGTGGGAGGACGCGTCGGTCTCGTTTGAAGTCTCGTCAACGCACTCCATCGCGACTTCTTTGACAGGATTATTCGCGGTCGTGTTCGCTACGCCGTCGTTACCGGCGTCCGGCGTCGCCGTCGCGTCGGCCGTTGCCTCGCCGAAGTCCAGACGCACCAGAACGTTCGTCTCGCGCTGCTCCGAGGCGTTGCCCGCGTTGTTCGCAGACGTGTACGTCCACTCCTCCTCGGACGAGTCCTCCGCGACGATCGCGGGCTCCTCGTTCTGCTCGGAATCCGTGTCCAGGTGGCGGAAGTAGAAGGTCGCGCAGTTCTTCGACTTCCTGTCGGGTCTGATTCGGAAATGATGGGATTAGGGGATGATCTACAGCAAACATGTCCAACCAGTCCTCGGGCCGTATGCGGCCCAAGACAATTGCGAATGCGAGCCATCAAGAAGTTGTAAGCTTACAAACTTTATTAGATTGTAACTAAAAGAACCATTAATCCATTCACTGCTAGGAAAATTTCGAGCTTCCTGCCTAGGGCGCTAAAATCAATAGTGAACGATCAAGAGAAAAGCCCCGAGACGACACAGAGGCAAGAGGAGCCTGTTGCTAAGGATTCTATTTATGGTTTTGATTGGTTAAATGTAACATATTGACCAATAGCAAATTAGTATTGAAAATGAGATGAGAAAGGATGAATGCTGACCAATTAGAGCAGCATTCCTTTCGGGGTTTTTTTGGTGAACAACGCTGAGTACAGTGCAGTTCTCGCGTTAGCTCAATCGGCCGCCAAGGTAAAAGTGCTCAGAGACAAGGAGACTCTTCAATTTTCGATATTCGGGCCACGTCGATCTTCGACGCATGGTCATTATTGGCGCGTGACAATAACAAAGGACGGCCGAAATGCTATGAAGTAGTAGTGAGACGTAACGATAGAAAGCAAAATTCTCTATAGTTTCGTATTACTTCGTCGCATTTGGTGTCGCTTCCGTCCTTTGTTATTGCCATGCGCCAATAATTACCATGCGTCGAAAGCCGATGCCTGAGCATCGTGAGTGGACGAGTTTCTTTTCCCCTGTGCATTTTCAGCTTGGCGGTCGATGGAGCTAACGTGAGAGGCATATAGTAAACCTGTAACGCTTATTACGAGATATCTCGTAGTTTCTAGTGAATGGATTAACCCCTTGCACTACTTTAACCAGTCCACTTGTGACCACAATTTCGGAGCAAATATGAATGGCACGAGTGAAACTCGAGATTATAACACGAGTGAGATATCGGTTGCTATAATTATTGCCCGAATTCTTCCCGACTAAATAGTACTGCAAGGAGTTAATAATACTACAAATACAAATTAAATATGCTATTAGTTTATGAACGGCCCATAACAATTCGTCTTCTGCCAATGAGGCCCATGGAAGCTAACAGGTTGGACATTTCTGGTCTATAGCTTTTTTAGCATGTTAAAAGTGGTGCCATTTTTGTTTTGCTTCCGATTTAAGCGGAACGTAAATTGAAAAATTGCGTTTGTATATGTTTTATGAAATATTGTTTCCCAAATTTGAAAACAGTATACTCATTCGTAATCACTTAATCGATTGAACGGATTCATTTCAAATACACTGTTGATGGTCTAAGGAAGTTCCTTGTTCTAAAAATGCCTCTTTAGAGTTGAATTTGAATCTTCTTCGGAATATAAATAAGCATAGAGCCTTCCACAAGACGCTAAAAAATGCAGAAGTAATAAGAAATAAAACGATATTCAGTACATGTTCATGAATACCATTGATAATTACATTCCTACCAGCATCATCTGGCGCGCATTACAAATTTTTTTCTCCTTTCATTACATGTTCTGCTATGGCGAGGAAAGAAAGTGACACAAAAAAGCCCGGTCACAGAAAGTGTTACAATAAAAGTATAAATGAGACAGCACGCGACTGAAGCGAGACTCGAGGAACATAAGAGTGGCCGTGTGGATTGAAAGAAACATTCTTACAATTACATATACGAAAAGAGTCAATAGAAGAGCATCTATTATTACAAAAATAATTATTTTCCACCAGGCATCTATTGAAAAAACATCAGAGATCCGGTAACTTATATTTTAAAATTTACCATATCATGCTTAATTATATTGATCAATATTTACAAGCAAGAAACTTCTAAAAATGAAATTCCTATTGTTCTCTATACATTAAAGATTAAAAAAATAATCGTTGCAAACAATTATCTGACGAAACCAATTCTCCATCGTATGCAGTAAATTGCGTCTCAAAGAAGCACTTTCAGACAATAAAACATAGTTAACACAGTGCGTGAATGTAAATGTTCCGATATCTAAAAGGAATAGTACCATTTAACTTTTTTTCAAATGTTACATAATGCAATCCGTTGCATCAGATTACCAGCATTAGCATGCAATAAAAACGTTCCACGCGAATGCGTTCTGTTCGAAACAAGGCAACAATTGAAATTCCTCGAACCAAAATTAAAGTGAAACAAGAAAAAAGTATCGGACTCTCACGGAACAATTTCCTTTCAAAATACGTCAACGTGTTGTACATATACCCTCGAGATAAGAATTTAAGATAAGAATGGCTTACGTGCTGAATGAGGCGACCTCCTCAGTCTTTCTACGACGTTTCACTGGCTCGTCGCTGGCAAGATTGTCGTTCGATTGTTCCGCGATTCTGGGTCTGCCGTCGATCTGATCGCAACTTTCCTCGATCGCCGTCGAATTTGTCACCGGCACGGTGTCGGGTGTTGGTGGCATGTCGTCCTCTTCGTCCTCGCTGACCGCGTCTTCCTCGATGTCCCCTTCCTCCCCTTGATCCCCCAAAGTGGTCTGGATTCGTTCAGCAACGGTTCCTTGATAATTTTCCACTTCGTCGGACCTTGTGTCCATCACACAGAGCTGGCATAATTCATCCTGCAACCACCGGACACCGTGAAAATCATTCCCCTGTTTAACCAGTAAACTGCAGTTGACGAGTACACGCGTCAATCTTAAAGCTTAAAATGATATTAATTGTTTTAACGATGAATTCTTTATTTTATTAGACAAACATGTAGTTCTTCTTTGTTTGGCTTTGGTTCCTCATTAAAATATACCTTAAGTGTATTCGCCCTGCGTTTGACGAGTACGCACTTCAGTTTTCATTTTATTCCACGCAAAACGAGAGATTTTTTAAATTAAATTCTACAGTTAACAGGTTGATACATTTTGACTTATGGTTTCTTTCACAACGTGCTCGATAAAATTACTTTATCTTTAATGATTTAGTAGAGAAAAAAGGAAAGAAAAGAATGATACTTATTCTGTGTCTACGTTTATTCTAAAGATTAAAAGTTGATAATAGAAAAGTCATATTTAATTTATATTAAAATAGAAGAAATAATATTTCGATTTGTCAACTTCGGTTTAAAATCATCGTTATAAGTCTGACACGATATTAGAGGAAAAGGATTAACGTTGATTCCTATTTACTAAACAACTAAAAAATCTACTTTACGTTCCGTTGCACGATACTAAACAATCAATTTCTCCATTTTATTTTACAGTTAGCTCTCGATTGGCGCGAGAAATAGGTTCTAGAAATTGAATGCATTATTCGAATATTTTAAATGTATGTTTGAATTTCTGCTCGAATGAAATGTAATATGGTAACAGTTTATAACTCGCACTAAATCGAATATCGAAATCCCGTTAATCCAGACCTACCTGTACTACGAAAGAAATTCTTTTCTCTGAGAACTTCCTATAGAAACATTGAAATTCAAATGTCTGCCACGGTACACTTTACCGCAACTATTAATCGAAATCGATTAACCAGTTAACTACGTTCAACGAGTACACGCGTCATCTTACAAGTCAACATGATATTCAAATTCATTTAACGATGAATTATTTATTTCTTGAGATGAACGTGTTTCTTCTTCGTTTTGCTTGAATTTTTCGTTAGAATATATTATAGGTGCATTCGAGCTACGTCTGACAAGTATACACTTCATTGTTTGATTTTTTTTCGTGCACAATCAAAGACTTTTTAAACTAAATTTCACAGTTAACAGGTTAACCGGTCAACAGAGGATCGATCGAATGTATCGAATATTATTTTTAACGAATGACATTAGGTACTATTTGATATCGGAAGGCAAAAACATTGCGCCGTGCACGAGAACCGCGCGTTCAAGCACATCTCTCAATCGCGACTGACCGCCGCAAAACCGTCCAGCCGATTATCACGATAATTTTCCACGATAAGAAGTTAATTATCGATCGAGCCGCTAACTGGAACGCTGACGAAAAACACCGGATTTATTAAAATATTAATGGATAAGATAGTCCGCTCGGGAAGCGTGTTCAACCTTGACCAAGAATTCTAACGAGAAAGGATTCACTGTTTCAATGTGATTTTTCCTTTCTTTCTTGCACCACGATAAAATGATAATAGTTGAAAGTTATAAATAGACTGTGGAATTTTTGTCACTTTCACATATATGTAGGTGAATTAAATTCTCTCTTTGTCGATTGAAAAAATTAAATTCCGTTTCTATTATAAATAGTTCCAATAAATTAAAAATAAAATGATATAACGTTTAATTCAAATATATTTTTGATTTTTTAATTTTGATAATTCTTTAAGTGCCTAAATGGCTGCAATCTAATTATAAAATTCAATCAAGTAAGAAACGAAATACTACTCAGAAGTTTGGAACCGATCCTAATATTTACAATTTAATAAATAACAAGTAATAAAACTTAATATTTTGTTTAATTAATACAGCTATATTCAAGCTTTTTCTAATGCATGTTCTTGTCTGGCTTTGACTCTTAACAAATAGTACGGTTCTATGATTTTCTTTTTAATTTTGCAAAATTTTCTCGCTTGAGATTACTTTACTGCTTTTTAAAGACCATAACACACTTTGCAATTTAGCGGGTAATTACTTCTCTATGATAAAATCTTCATTAGAACGAAAGGAAATTATTTTGATGAGGTGAATCTAGAGATTTAGCATAAAAAATCATGATAAGAAGTGTCCAAACGAAGCAAATAAAAAATCATAATTAAAAACGATTTCCCGGATACCTTCTTCAGCTGTACAAATAAGAGAAGAGTCTTCAAATATATAAAAAAATGACATCCATCCCTTGCGCGCAAAAAATGACAAAACAAACGCGTCGAAAAGAAATTCCGAGCGGAATATAAACATTCGCCGACGCTAATTAACGAAACAAAACGACGAACCGGTGGCGAAGTAATGGTTCAAAAATAATGAAACGTAATAACTTTCCGCCTCGCGACGTAAGAAACTGGTTTTCCACGGAAATAAAAACGCACGGCTAAAAAAAGAGAGAAAAAAAGAAGACGAAGGAAAAAGAACTATCGCTTCTGCCAGCGCTCACACGTTCGCGAGGAATACGCGATACGCGAGAGGAGCGTTTTGATGCAACGATGCAAGCACGTTCCTCAACGTCACGTATGTGTAATTACGCGTCAATTTCAATTTTTATTTTATTTCGCCTCGTGAATATTTCAGAAGGTAAAAGGCCCCGCGTGTAAGTACTTACTTTCTCCCGGCGAGTTCTCATTCCGCTCGAGCAGAGCAGCGGCGCATCGGCGAGAAAAGATTTTTCGAGCTTCCTCGATAAAAAGGAACACAAAAAGGAACGAGGGAGTACCGTTTCTTCGTGCTATTCACGCCCCGCTCCTCTCTCGTGCACGCTCGCGGCTCGATAACGAACGGAACGACGTCGAAATCGATTTTCTTCGCGGAACGGTGAAATTTCATGGTGGGATAAGGATGCTCGTGTACTTACTCGCACAATGCCTCGCGATTCACGCACAAAATTATCACCGTCACTTCGAACGATCGGAATATCATCTTCCATTCGACTTTTTGTCCGTATTCTTGTTTGACCCTGTTCTCCGCGGAGTCAGAGATGCGTGAAATACTTTGATGCCAGAACTGTATACGTTTGTAACAATATTCTAACGCTGACACCACTGCAATTAACTTTTCCCAATCTTTCCGAACGTTTAAACTTATTGAGATTTTGATTGAGTTAGAATTCAGTGTGGGTGTTCGAAAGCTATTTCTCTGAGAGGATTTGTTACCTTTTTCGTAATTGGAAAGAAGAATTCTGGAATGGGTCGATTTTCACCCGTTCAATGTAGTGTTAAATGCAAAACTGTAGATAAATGAGTTCGCTTTGTCTGTTTTTTCCATACTTATTATATGCAAAATGAATTGTTTATAAAGTCTACAAACAAGTTTTGTATTATAAAAATGGAAATTTTCAGTACGAAAGTTAAATAGAATACTCATCCCGATACAAAGATAATTACATGAATACATCATTCTTGATCGTTGTCATGTTGAAAGACAATTCAAAGATAGATTTCCAGTAACGATGAATTCACCTGGCACGACTATAAATCAATTTCATCGAGCGACTAACAATAAGAGACGGAGCGAAAGGAACGCTGTTTGAGTTCCAGTCAACGAGTAGTAATAATATCATCGCTGCCAGTGAACGATATATCATTCAAACAAGCAACGCTTGCGACAAATAATGTTATACAGTCATTGATTAACGTATAGTGATGAACAAAAATATTAGCATCGACTACATTTCCTTGTAAAATCCTCTGTAAATTTATTAAACGTAAAATTCTTTGTTTAATTTCTTAGCAAAACATTCCTTTCGCACAGAACAGTCCTTTACACAGTTTCTATATTTCAATGTTCTATTAGAAAATAATATTTTATAACAAGAACATAGGTTAATCGCATTTAGAATAAGAATCGTAGATTTAAAAAATTTGTGCAGATTTCAAAAAGAAATAAATTTTTACCAATAATTTTGTATACGACTATACATTGATGACTATAAGTCAAGTGAGGCTTGGTTGTCCTAGACAGAATATAAATTTTAATATAGAGACAAGTGTATATATAAAGTAATCATACTGAACTATTCAATTTTTCTGCGATACTAACTCTAAATTTACCTTAAAAACGTTTCAGTTATTTTTCGAAATTAAAAAATCGTAATAAACTGAAACCTATGCTGTCTTGAGTTGATAAATTCATTCAACAATGCGTTGCATATTTTGGTTGAAAATTACCTATTGTTCTTCAGTTTATTTATTGGTAATATTTATTTGTACGTTGTAACACAAACGTCACATTGTAAAATAAAACGACAAGAATTTTTAATTAGTTTGTATTTCTTTCAGATCTAATTCAATTATCCCTCAACGAAACCTTCGATACAAATGTTCCGAACACCGTGTATACGTTATCTTAGAGACACCAGCAGAAGTAAGAAACCAGAAGGTTCCCTTTATGTCGCTAAGACGAACAGAAACACCAGTTCTACGAGACTGTACAATGTATTCGAGGCACACAGGTCGTCCAAACGATCACTTCTGTTCCTGGAAAGAAACAATGGCCGCTAATAAGGATCAAGACCCGTTCCCATATTCAGGTATTCGTTCGTGAGCCCGAGTCCTTACAATCCCGCGATTTCTCGGATTAACTACAAGCTGAGAAGCGAATTATGATTTCTCAACAATGGAAAAATGGTTTTAAAAAAAATGAAAATCGAAGCAGACATCTTTCTAATATTCAGACCTAAATGTTTGTGCGAAATCATAATTTTCTGAAGTAGTTTATAAAAATACTATTTTTTAGTAAGAATTTTCTTTATGCAACGTACAGATAGTTGTTACAAATGTATATATTTCATATTTTATACAGACACGATAATTCTAAGCAGTTTTCGATTTCATAATTTCACATTGTAAAGTAATTTTAGAATTAACTGAAACATTATATTTTGCGCATTAATATATTTTAAGAAGAAATTGATTAAAAATTATTATCGCAATTTTAATAAAGCTTGATTCATAATTTAATCCCTAGTTCCTCAATGAAAAAGAAAAAAAAATATTTTTAAAAATAGAAAATTACCAATTAATGTTTTTTATCCCGCGATTTAAAATATTTAATGGAAAAAGCTTCTTTTAGGTCTTAATTCTATCCAATACACGGTTAAAGGATATGACATTTTGACCTCGATGGAACAGACAGATAACTGGTCCAGTTTTAGTTAAAATTAATTATCGCTTTTCGAATAATGAGCTCTCATACGTTCCCAGGCTACGTTATGGCTACATATAATTCTGAATTGATTACATATGTTTTCCATAAATCACATGTTCTCTTAATTCGTAATTATTTCTCCTAAAAAATAAGCATGTAGATAATAGTAATTGTCTATAAGGATAAATATGATCCCATAGAAGTAGTCCCTTTACGAACGTATGTAATACTTATTGAACCATAACGAATTATACTATCACAGTGAATTATATTCTGACATTAAACTAAATATCAAAGTAACAATTACCAAGTATCTATGGTCTGCATTCAGGGGTATTTAATACCATTTCTATTTTTTCGTCGGTATTTTCCACATATCTTAAACTTGTAACGGGACTTGAAACACTACTGTTTTATGTAATAATGAATTTTATACGTTTCCTATAAATAAAATATTAATTCGAACTTCAACGAAAGACAACTAAAATGCACGTAAGTATATATTACATGTAAAAGTTTCTCGGAAGAAGTCTTCAATTTCTGGGTTAAGCTCGTTAATGTATGCTATTATAATGATAAAGCAATAAAATTACACGGCGAGTAATGAACTAAAGAATAAAATGATTAATAGAGGTACTATATGATTTAATGAGTTATCATTATCGTCCGGATCTTCTTTTTTTCTTCGTCTAATCAAACAGCCGTATCTACCCCTTTATTCTTAATAAATTGACTCTTCCCGTCACTCAGAGCTGAAGACTAATTATTTTGTGAGATATCTACGATTTTACTTGCACTTTCGAGTATCACTTCACGCTAATAAGAACCTTAATTGTACGTCCGTGAGGCAACTACAGTTACCTTAATTTAGATCCTGGAACCGTAGAACAATTCGAATGAAAATGGCAATGCATCAAGATTTTAATTAGCACCCCCGAAATTATAGACTGGAAATATCTCAGTGTGGAAAGATGACATCGACTGTAATTTAAGATTATTACCTGCACATTTTTAATAATACTTTGTAAATCGTTTCAAACGTTTTTCGCAATTATGTCATTTTACGAATAACGTCATTCACCGTTTAAAAAAATCTCCCCACAATTTTCGATTTCTTTTTGATTTAGAAATCCTTCTTCATTCGTCGGTTCGTTCGAAGAGCAACGAAAGAGGTCGTTGATCATAGGAAATTCTAACAGGGAAATCTGTTTTTCAAGTTAATTTTGAAACAGAAAGTGCACAGGAGAAAGTAAAGTTATGAAGAATTTAACGAGAGCACTACTTTCCTAGAGCTGAATATTGGAAACGAGCCTTCCAAGGAAAAAAAATAGACGAAACGCAACGACCAGTCGAAAAGCTGAAAAGTGTCAATTAATACACTCGAGATTTCACGAAAGTGGAGAAAACGAAACGCAATGGTAAACGGTTATTCACAAGTTTCCTTAATTTCGGTTTGCGTCGCAAAAAGCCGACCTGTAACGTTTATCCGGCACTTGAACTCTTTTATACGATTCGAATACGATCAGCAAAAATGTTAATCCGCTACGAAAAAATGTGGCTTCAAGTAACACTATACGGATTCTGATTTCACTGGCACAAATCTATTACATGACCGATTTGAGGAATGAACTGACACCGTAGCAAGCACGCACAACAGCAGATGTTTTTAAAATCAGAATGAAAATCAATATATGTCATTCTGCAAGATAAAGTATTGAGAACTTTTGTTACGACATTTCTTGAAGAAGCTAATGATTTAATTGTTTAGGGTCAAATATATGAATTATGAATTCCGATGACAACAATATTTACTACAAACGATAGACGTTTTAATTAATTAATATGAAACTAATTAATTGCTGTACTATTAGACGTATAAATGCCATTGTAACGTTATACAATACGATATTGATTAGTATCACTGGTTGGAAATTCCGCACAATAAGCGAACAAAACTTGATATGATTTACTTTGTATTTTTTTCATTTCAATCTACAAAACTTTCATGTTCAATCTCCTTTGATAACTAACTTTTTACTCAAGAATGCACAAGAAACATATATGTTATCTACTCTTATCTGTAACAGCTTAAAGATGTCTTCTTTTTAAGAAACCAAGGTGTAAATGATACTAGATCAAAATACGTACTACTGAATTTAATAAATATACACGATAATCCAAAAATAAGTTTTCGACTAGCTCTTTAAATTATCACTGTCGATTTTTAGTATGCTCGGAAGTTTGAAATTGAAATATTCAAAATAACAAGAAATTATATATGAAATTATATATATATATATATAGATTTAATGTTAGCCACAATTTTTAGAAAAATTCGCCACTGTGTAACGGTCATATGATCAAATACTCCAAATTTTGATTGAACTGGTCACACGTGGATGCAACGTGGTGCACCAAGTATGCGCCGACACTTCCTGCGTGCACGAACAGAAACAATGGCCGTCTGCTAATAAGGATCAACTTCCACAGTCAGATGACCATCCTCGTAATCGAACGATCGTATGACTTCCGAACTTATTTCACAGATATTACACACAGTTCTTGAAATCTTTTCTGAATTTTCTTTTAAATGAACGAATCCGTTATTATTCCAAATTATTTAACCCTTTGCACTCAAAGGTTTTTTACTACGAATATTCAACAGTCTTCAATGAAACATAGACGACATCCTTTCAAACTAACTAATATGAAAACATAGATCAATTAAGAAAACAAAGCTACGGTATTGGAATACTTCACATACTGATGCGTTATACAAAGCTTAACGTTATACATAACACTTTTCCTACATCAAGTGATAACTGCGAATCACCTCGTGATAGCAAAGGGTTAACTTCTTTTGAGAATTCTTTTATCAAGATTTTGGTTTATTTTATCTTGTCTAAACGCATTATTAATGAAACAAAAACTAAAATATTATCATTTAGTGCTTTTTAAAAGGAGAATATCACTTAGAAGTGTAGAAATATGTACACTGCCGTTCAAAAATATTTTGAAATTACCATATTGATTTTTTTAGTAATTGAATACGTTACGATTATAATTTTCACTTTTAATTTCATTTCAATGGAGTATATTATAATTATATCTTTAATCTTAATTTTAACGACGTGAAATATATCACGCTTATAACTTTCACTTTTACTTTTATTTGAAATAATCATTAAATATTATCAAACATCACAGAGCAATTAATGAACCCAATTTTTTAAGATATTACGAATAATAAATACAACTAAATAAAAGAATCTATGAATTTCTATTCGCATTTAATTACTCTTCATTTTCAAAAGAAAAATCACATGGAATTGAAATAATACAGGATCATTTTAATATTACGCACCATTTCAATGACAAAAGACCGTTTCCAACGAAATATTTCTTTATTTGAAGACCTCTTTCTTTGTTTTGAAAATCTAACGCGATCGAAAGGTTCGCGGCAGTGTACACGTTTTAAAACTCCGATTTAATCAGTCTTATCTAATACACGATCCCGGTGAAACTGTTCCACGAACCTTTACACTGTCCTAGTAAGATCTCGCACAGTTCTATTCATTAACACATTCTATGTATTCATATGACTCCACTTTTCGCGAATCACCAGATGTAAAGAAATAATTCACCGCACTTCGCACTACGCAGCCGCAAACAGTGGCTCGCTAGGAACGCAATTCAAAAATGCTTAACACGTCAGATCTAATTCCACGTCCACTATGTCGACTTTAAACAACTGATTAGATTTTCCAACCGCACGTTGTTTTCCTCCAGTTCGCACGTTTTATCTCCATCTTTCTTTGCACACCGACAGTCGGAGTTCGAATCGGAGCATCGGTACAAACGATAAATCCGTCGGAACGATAAAATCAAATAAAATTCAACTCCTTTAATATCCGAAACTTTCGAAGCCAGTACCTAGCTCATCGGTCAACACCGTACACAGTCTCCCTCGCAATGCTACGGAACTAATACAGCTCCAATGAGAAGAGAAACCAAAGAGAAAAAAAAGATCACTATCCATCACAACATCGATCACCGGATCTTCAAAGAGATCCAAAACAAAGGGAGATCACAGAAGCCAAACACAGAATGCCTTAATCCAAAGATCCACAAGCTCTCGGTTACAGGCGATAAATCCGCTTCGTGGCAGATTTTCGACCGGTCACTCTCGTCGAAAAGAATTCTCGGCGTCCCTCGAAGCGCACAAGAACACCATTGTTCCACGGGCAGTGTTCCGGAGAACGTGGGTTCGCACAAACGTGTCACAACACTCGGGTGATTTGCGTGGAAGGAAGAGAAGTTCCGGAAGGAAAGAAGAGAGGATGGAATTTTCTGTCGAATATAGATATGTACGCACCTCGAAGTAAGATCCTTCGCCGACGGATCGATTCTCGGAAGACGCGTCGGTGTCGGAGAGATCCGCTCTGACTGCGGCCGGATCCTCCGAGTATCGCGGCGATCTCGTCGCTCTGTGGCGTTTCGAGCGTTCCGAGCGCGTCGAGCGGGCCGACTGACCCGGGGATTCCCTTCCAGAACCCCGCGAGTGTCTGCGGCTGAGTCGGGGCTGCTTCGTGACTGGCTCCTCGTCGCTGTCGCTACTGCAGCGGTAAGGCACTACGTTCTGAAACACGAAATCGCCGAATCACTTTATCTGATAATCCTCGCAACGGCGTAGACCGGCCGCGCCGGGCGTTTGAACCGGTATAGGAGCGTTTATAATATTAAACCTTTCAACTATCTTTCTTTATTATATCGTTTATTCTCGTGTTTAACCGCACGATTAATGGACTTTTACACTTGTTGCATAGTTGGGGGAGGACTCGATGTGTAGCAGAATGGCATAAGGACGAGGTGTCTTTATAGTTTACAGTTTTATGGTTTTGATCGGTTACGCGTAACGGTGACACCGAATAGTAAATTAATTACCAAAAATATCGGAAATTAGAATATAAAACCAATACAAAATTGAACAAGAAAAAACAGAAGATTGATCGATCAACTAAATTCTTCAGTCTAACTATCAAGTAATCTCCTAGCAGTTTTTTTTATACTTATTCTATTAATTGTAACGTCTATTCTACTTTTCTTAGGAAAACTGAAAAATGGATAAAATTTAAAAATACGAGACTTTGGCCAATTTAATACTATCTATTCACACACTACTTGTTATTTATTCAAGCGAAATACGATTTTGGAAAGAGTGGCAGTCGTATATTCATCTCCATGGCTATCATCGATGACTAATGTTAGAGAGACTGGGAAGGAAAGTATTATTTTTAGGCTCCACAAAAAGCTTTAATCATGAGCTATTTATTATTTATTTTATGTAGAATTGGAAAAGCGTAATATAATATCCAAGCTAAAGAGAAAGAAGCACGATCGGCACGTTCCGACCGAGTTTTTGTAAAGAGCCGTAGCACGTAAAGGATTAAAACCATGAAAATTGACAATTTAAAAAATTAACAACTGTATGTAACTACAAAATTTAAATATTCGATCTAAATATTGAGTGAAACCTTGCGATTTTCTAGATAATCGACGCGGCATAGCGCAAGTGGAGATTTTACATGCGAAATTTTTCGAAGAGACTGAAAAGAAGGTGGCAGCGTTTTCGTGCGATATTGTAGAAAGAAAGGAAGGTGCCGGTTGGACTGAGGCCAGAGTAAAATTAGTTGAATCGCGAACAAGAATAAAAGGTCGGTAAAAATGCAGATACGTATTGCTTGACTAATTTTCCCCGCGGCGAACCTCCAGCTGTACAGTTTCCATTCTACGGAACAATCAGTGACCAACGGAAGGTATTACAACCAATAAAATGAATTTATTGCTTGAACTGTTTTATTTCTTTATTCTGGGAACAGCAAATCGATGTCTTCTAGTTTTAAATCGATCGTTTCTTGTACAGGAAAAAAATTTTCAAATGAAACATAAAACTTGTAACATCGTTTAATCGTTTCTGTATCATCACGTGTAAAACTATATAGAAGAAGACTTCATAGTGGAGTTCAACGATTCTTTTATTTTTGATAATTGGAAAGATCGATTATTCTGATTCCGTCTTAACCATTTTGTTCCGTAAAACAAAGTTTATAATAAATTGTTAACAATAAACACTAAGCAATTAAGAAACATACAGAACGAAAATAGAGTGAATATGCATCATTAATCTTGCTCTATGATTTTTTCGACAAATACGCTGGCTAGGATTATTTTATAGTTAATAATTTACAATAATGAATATAAATAAATATAAACTGACATTTACATACGCAAACCTCTGTTCGACATTTTTGCCAGGAGTATTACACGAAGTTATAAAACAAGAGGTCAACGAATATTTATCTCTTCCTCGAACTTACTCCATATAATTACTTAACATTTAATTATCCATGCATGTTCAAACAACTCCATTAACTTGTCAACTGTGGAATTTATTTTAAGAATCTCTCATGAGGTGCGTAATGGGTATCAATCAATAACGAGTATATAAAGAAAATGATTCTTCTAATTCGTGTAGAAAAATTCGTGTGACAACCGAATTCGGCGTATCTTGAAAATGTTTGAGAGATCAGTGTACGTGATATCGGAACTAGAAAAATGAGATCGGATTTGACCGAGAATAAACTCTCGCCGCAATTGGCTCATAAAGCCGACCGTTCCTATCAATCCTTTGTATGCGCGCGGGTAATTAAATCGGAAGTAAAAGCGGGGATTCGTGGCGAGGAAGCAGGTCGAGTCAATTTCCACGACGAGCGGGAAGATCGAAGACAATCGCGAGTGGGCACCGGAACCAGTGTCGAGCAAAAGTTCTTTAAAATAATGAATAAATTCAATAGGATTATCATTTTGTGGATAACGAATAAATCCAATCTGTGAATAATTAATATATTCATCATTCACAGACAATTAACAAGTTGACTGCCACGAGAATTTAGAACGATTTGTATAACATTACTTATCGTATCATAACAGTATCAGAATTAGTTATTAATGGTTTAGTATCATAGTTCTCAAGTTACACTAACATTTAGTTACTCACGTTACTAAACATGTTAATTCGATATCAGTTTTCTTCTTGTAATTATTTTTCAGTAATATAGACGATCTGGTCATCAGTGACCACGGTGGCGGTCAACATATTAAATAGAATTGATGTAAAATGCTTCATTTAGTTTGTTTAAAAGATTTGAAATGTGTCAAAATTACACAAATAGCAAGCACATCACGCGAAGCAATTGCAAGAAAGACAATCCACAGCCAGGACATTCCAAATTCGACTGTGGTAGCGAACGTGTTAACCAGTTAACTGTGGAATTTAGTTTCAAAAGTGTTTATCCGAATAAAGAATTCATCGTTAAAAGAATTAGTATAATTTCAACGTTTAAGATGACGCGTATAATCGTGAAACACAGTTAACCGGTTAATTGAGCGAACATCAATTTTTCTACGAACGAAAGAATGAATCGTACAATAAACGTCCGTAAACCTAGTATCACGGAAGTAGGGGTTAATTGAAGCGTAGATGGTCGAGCCCACGTTCGAATCGGCGACGAACGTCTCGCCCAGACCTGTGAAGATAAGGCGGCCCCCGAAGCTACGCCATTGCGCGCGGGCCGCGGCGTGGGCAAACGACACACAACGTGACCAACGAAAGATACCCGATGGACGCGACTGATACAGCGTATAGAAGGAGTACGCTCCGCGACGGCGCATGTAGCATGTATATATCGGGCGACGAATAAATGGAAGATTAATGGTCGATTTCACCGGTTGGCTCGGGACTAAATTTAGAAACGGCGATTTATAGGATTAAACTCTCCGTACTTTGAATAGAGAAATTATTGCCGCATCGACGAGCTGCATACCTTAATTAGACGCGCGCGCCGAGCGCACTTTTCCGACGAGGTTCCCTTTCTTCTCCTCGCGGAGCGGTCTATTGAAACGTTCCGAGCGATTGGAATCGCTGGTTACCCGCGCGCGTTATGATATCTGACGATTAAACGATGCCTGGATCATGCAGCTAACGAGGAAGCGACCTTGACGATTGTGTCCGATTTCCATTTTAACGGGATCCGATCGCCCAATATCGATATAGGCTTTTCACCTTTGAATTAGAATTAGAAACAATTATATCAGGCCGTCCCATAAGTTCGTGTCGTTTAGTTTTTTACTGTATAGAGTAGTTATTTTATTAACACTTAAGCACCCGGCAATTCTAGTGTATGAAATAGATTTAAAAAGTATACGCGATATTATAGTTATTATGTTGGAAATATTTGATCTTATGGGTGGTAAATCAAGTTGTCGTTTTTTACAGATTTGTTTAACTTGATAGAAAAAACGGGCTATCACGTGGCCGGTTGTTAAGGTTTTAATATTAGATTTACTGACATTTATTCTAGTTTATTGTATTGTTCCTAGAAAGTTACATGTTCCTTCATATAGATCGCAGAAATTAGAGAGTCAAGAGTAGAGAACTACAATGCGTATTCGCATAATTGCACGAATCAGAATCGACTGAAACTGTTACCGAATAATGCTTGGAAAATTCAATATCCGTCAAATTGACGAGATTCGTAAATCTAGCGTTAAATACAAAATTCTTGTAACATTATGATCTGTCCGTCTCGAACACCTTCCACTGACTAAACCGAAGCGTAAAGGTTTAGTCACAATATTATTTCAACAAATTTCTATTAACTCTTTGCGGACAAGATTATCTTCACGTGCTAACATTTCTTTTTATAGAAAACTGAATTATGCATCGAAGTCCTAAATATGAAAAGGAAAGAAAACCATGTCAGTCTCCCGTTAGTTGAGTAATTAAATTATTCATTTGCAGTTTTCGATGTTAGATATAGATTTTTGCATAATTGTACTATATATTCTGCAGCCAATAGCAAAATGTACATTTCTTTCTATTTATCACTCAAATACTACGAGTAACGAATGATATTCATTTATCATGGTCGTATTTTTATTTATAACTTATGAACTTATGTTTCTAGTCCACCTGTAATAATTATTACCCATGATCACGGGCAGATCACGATCCTAACAAAATTATAAAATACAAAAAAAAGAAATTCCAATAAAGCAGAATTCAATAAGAGAACTCATAATCTGTGTTTCACGAACCACATATCGATCTCACGCTGCCATCGCAATTTTGTAACACGGATACACATTCACGGTGCATTCGGAAGACACATACCTTTAATTGCGTATACCCGTAAAATTATCAAGTATCTACACCTAATATGTTACATATATTATAAACAGTTTCTACACTATTACCTCACGAAAACTCGTTAACCTGTTAGCCCGTTGAGTTCTCGATCACGAATATATACATACACAAATACAAGTAGGTAAATGGGAATGTTAATAGTCCAAGGCAGTTCATTCGGTAATGAATACAATTCTAGACTAACTGACATTCTTGAATACATTAGGATCTAATTGTGCGCAAAAATTTTAAGTAAACAAATCGGAGAAATAGAAATCACGACGGCGATAGAGCTTCCTTGGCCTCACATACTAAAGTCTGTTCTTGGCTAACAAATTAAACTCGAAGTAGGCTGATCGAGGTTATTTTCTAACAAAGGAAAAATTCACCAG